TAATTTTACATTTAATTAACCTAAATAATTAAAATAAATTTTTATTTATTAATTTTATTATATAATTTATTTATTATTATAAAGTATTTTAATATTTTATAATAGTTTTTTATCTAATGACTTATTTGTTATTAATATACATGCATAACAAATTATATAAAAAAATATTTTTTATTGACTTTCATTATTTACAGATTGACCCATGAGGTTAAATGAAATATAGTTAAGTTATTAAAATTGCAACTAGGTCCCTTTACTTATTCTAATTCTCAACAAAAAAGGTCCAACTCAAAAGTTGAATGTCTGTCACGTATTCACAGCCCTCGTTGCCGGCACCACTGCGGCTGAGACGTCGGACATGACCGGATCTCCGGTGGCGTCGGACATGATGGCGAATCTGGCCAGAGTTTCGACAGTTCTTTTGAATGGACTTGCTCGTCGCGGACAGAGGCGAAGATGGTCGTTGGGACAGTGGAGGCGTGTTCCCTAATTATTTTCGCTATCCGCAAGTGTACGGCGTAGCTATAGGTAGTGGCGAGCAAGGTCGTATTCTACAAAGATTATAGTTAAATTAATTAAGTACTAATATAATGACGATTAAATATTATTTAGACTAACGAACGAGATGATGATTTTAAACTACGAAATTAAACTAAGAACTAATTTACCTAATGAAATAAAAATAATATAAGATGCAAAAATAGATTCTAGGTCATGTTTTCCTCGGAATTAATTCATGAAACGTTTATATTCATCCAAACCTTATTTAATTTTACCAATCGTAGAGTGCTAGCGCCGCTAGTACCCCTAGCGGCGCTAAGGTTGGTGAGGCAACAACGTTAGGGCCTTAGCAGGGCGACAGAAAGTTGGCCCAAAATGTTGTTAGCGCGGCGCTAATGTCTGGGCGGGAGCAGTTTTACTTTCAGTTTTCTTTTCGTTTTCAATGGAGTTTGGGTAGTTAGTATGGTTATTTTATGTTGTTTTCAGAACATTGTACGAACTATCTTTATCTTTTATCAATAAACTCTAAAAGCTCGTGTCCGAGCACAAATCTGTGTCAAAATCAAGGCCGTAGTGTGGGTTTTGATAGAAAATTCGATACTCAATAAACGATTCGTAACATAGAGACAACACTCGCTTGGGCCGACCCGACGCAAGAGTCGAGGTAGATCACTTTATATCATCTGTCTATAGGATAACACAATAGAATTTAGGCCTTTTATGTCAAAGTCAAGTTGTAAAAATTGGTACATTTTTTTTTGTAATTTAAAATTAACAAGTTGACAATCTTTTGTCAAATAGGATAACACAATAGCATTTAGGCCTTTTATGGTCGAGCGGCTCGTTTTGCAACAAAGAATTGTTATAATTGCAATTTTGAAATATTATATATATATATATGGGTTGGATTCCAGTGAGAATGGTTCCAAGTGAAAGAATTAAGAATAAATTATAGCCATTAGATCAGATGATCCAACTGCTGAAAAAAAAACCCAAATTTTAAACACATTAAGGGCAATGATGTAAATTTCATACACAATTAACATGTGGCCCACCCAATATATTGCACATTAACATTACACCATATGTACGATATTGTGAATACACGAGCACATTATTAAAACTATTAAATTTTTATGAAATTACATAGTTATTAATTGGCCGAATTATCGTTCGGTTTGGTTTAATCGACATATAGGATATTGAAACCGGAATAATAGAAAAAAATATTATTTGTATTATAAAAACATATTTGGTGAGATAATATTTTTGATTTAATAATTTTATTATTTTTTATTAAGGATTGTAATATTCTATATAAAT